ATGGTTTCAGATCCAGTTTCTTTCTTGGGTGATTATAATATTGTCTCAAGTATTTATTTTTCCAGGAGGGATTATTTGAACCCTGAGGTTACTGAGTGTTTACATATCACTGAATATTTTTTTTCACACTAAGATGAATGAGAACCTTCTTCTTTTTATTTATTCATTTATTTTTTACTTAATTGCAGAATCTGCCACTGTTTAGGGCTTTCAGTGTTGGAGATGAGAATCCTGAAGATAGGCCGATCTCCTTGACCACCCCAGGCATATCAGTTAGAATGAAGTTTGGCTGTTTGTCATAGAAAACCCCCAGGAAATATAACATAAAGTAGAATTTGATTTTTTTTTTTTCCCTGATGTAGAAGTCCAGGACTATACATAGCTCAGGTTGGTTACGTACAACTCTGTGATGACAAGAGTTGCGATTTCTTCAGCTTTATTGCTTCTCTGTGCTTGATTTTCATTCCAAATAAGCTCATGGTCCAAGATGAAAACCATTGGCAGTATGTTGCATGAGCAAAATGTGGAGTCCTGCTTTCCTACAAGGACATTTCTGCTTGAAGCACATAGGCGAGAACCTAGCCTAATGTGGAGCTGGGAAATGTTTCTCTGCCCTGGGCAGCTTTGTGGTCAGTGAATAATTTGGATTTCAATTACAATGTAAGAAAGGAAAAGTCAACATTAGGAATGAGCAGGACCAGACACATTTTAACAGTTTTATTCTTTTGGTCTGGAAGTGTATACAGTTTTCTTTGTAGACCCTGAAGTCACAAGTTTTATCAGAATATGTCTGGGTTTTTTTTCCTCATCAATTAGATGTATAATTTGGTAAGGCCTCTCAATGAGTGAACTTATGCCTTTCTGCAGCTCAGGAATATTTCCTTTTAGTAGTTACTTTTAAAAAATAGAGGGAAAAGGGGAAAAAATGTTTAATGTCTTGAAACTTGACTACTGTATTTTTAATATTCTGAGCAAAAAATGGAAAATCCTTATAAAGCATCTTTACTACTTACTAAGTAAGGCACAGTGTTTGTCAAATAAGAACTTGTGTGTTTAAGTTTTGCAGTGAATTAGTCACTTATTCATAGAATAGTGTTTTTAACTTAGAAGAATGATTATTATATAAGCTATAGGTATTCAGACTTGGGTATTTGGCAAACATTTTTTCAAAGATGAATGGAGTGAACCTTGCATCCTCCCAAGAAACACCTTAGCTATATTTGTCACTTAAGATAAAATTCACATTTTAAGAGAATTGGCAGAATTTTGGAAAATCTGCCGACATAAGCATAATGACTCCCAACACTTAAAGACTGAAGAGATTGATGATGAGATTAATAATAGTCTATTATTCTATTCTATTCTATATATACTTGACTTGTATTATATAATAGAGTATGTCAACATTTGAAAGATATGCATAATTCAGTGAATTTATATTTTCCAAATGACTAATGTATAATGTGATGAAATCATGTAAAAATAAAAAAAAATCCATAGAAAGTACAGGATAGAATAATGAATTTGAATGTAACAGAATACCAAAAAGTCATTGATGTGGTTATAGATTCCACTTTTCATGCAGGTGTTAAAACTACCACTTACAGAGTTTTAGCATGATATTAAAGAGGACTATTCACAATTATCTGAAATAGCTATTGAAATATTTTTCCCTTAACAGCTAAATATCCATGTGAGGTCAGAGTTTCTTCAACTATTTCAAACAAGGAAACATATTGCAACTGGTGCATACAGAAGTTGATAATTATTATTCAGCTAGATCTTTTCCATTAAACTAGATATTTTTAAAAGATTTTATTTATTTATTTTTTAGAGAGGGGAAAGGAGGGAAAAAGAGAGGGAGAGAAGCATCAATGTGTGGTTGCCTCTCTCATGCCCCCTACTGGGGACCTGGCCCACAATCCAGGCATGTGCCCTGACTGGAAATTGAACCAGCGTCACTTTGATTCACAGGCTGGCACTCAATCCACTGAGCCACACCAGCCAGGGCTAAATTAGACATTAATGAGGTTTGCAGAACTATAAAACAATTCCATTTTTTTGCTTTGTAATATAATGGTCTTCTGGTTAAAAATGTTTCTTATGTTAACATGTCATTAGTTTCTTAATATAATTTAAAATAAGTTAACATACAGTTTTGCATGATCTCACCTTTAATTTCTAATACAATTTGGAATGGATATAATTCAAATAAACAAAAGCTATTTGGGGTCCTTAATAATTTTTAAGAGTGTAAAGTTGTTTTAAGACCAAAAAGTTAACAGCTAGTCTGCGTTGTAGTCTCTTCTCTCGCACTTTTCTCTTCTGTTCTCTCCCTCTCGCCTGTTTTTCTCTCACATGCACATACAGGTGCACACGTGCTCTTGCTTTCTCCTCTGTTCCCAGACAATTTCTAGCATTGTAGAGGTATTATACAGTTTAATTATTGTATCTTAATGTCATATTTTTAATATCTGCAAGTGCTAAGTCATTTTTCTAAATCTTTTTTTATTCTGAACTTTTTATTTTTTGAAATATGAGCTTACTTTTTACTTTCTGAAATATTTATTTTTCAAAATCAATTTTGGTTATTACATCATGATAATCAAAGGAAGGTTGGTATCTTAATTGGAATTGTGTTTTGTTTATATCTTAAAATATCTATTGTCTTAGAG